ATCTCCGAAGGTGAATCTAAATTATGAGAAGCACCGGCACGTGCCCCCGTTTGCATTCTCGGCGAGGCTCTCCGCCTTCCGGAAGTGAGCAAATAGCTCGCTCGCTTTGTATCACGCGCTTTTCACGCGACACTTCGCGGAATTCGCGAAACCAAAGATATCTCGTGCGATTTTAAGGTCAGCTTCCCCGCTCGCCAGCGGTCTGGACCTGGCGCCTGTCCGTCCGCCTCTCGGTTTTGATGCGGATGCGAGTACATTCGACGACAAGACTTGAAAATATCCGCGAAATCATAAACACCGCTCGGACGATGTCGGTAATCACGATCGGCAGTGCACCGCGACGAAAGTAAATATTCAAATATAATTCCCGAGATACATCGCACGCCGCGCACCGTCTGGTTATTCCGATGGCCTTGTTATCACGATAAACACGGCACGTTTATCAGTATCTCTTCGAGAGATAAGACGACCCGACGTTTCACGATCAAAATTCAATCGCCTGATATCGAATAGAATCATGTATGTGTGTGTATATATACATATATATATATATATATATATATTGCGGCGCGCTAATTTTCATATACATTCATACCAATTAGAATGGAGGGGGAGAGGAAGACAGAGAGAATGAGAATTAAATGGAAATGAAATTTCATCTAAAATAATTTTAAAGAAACAAAAGATAATAAATAAAAGATAAGAAAAATGAATTCAATAACATATTACAATGTGACATCTAAGTTCGGGCACTTTCTTAAATAAAGAAAAGGTTAAACTCAAGCTACAGATAAACTAATTTAGTTATTCTACGCAGTTTCCAAATGACTCACTCTTTCCATCGAGAACGCTCGAGAAATTCGTAATAACTTTGAGACATGACGTTCGGAAGAATATCGGAGAAGGATCGATCCGAAGAACTCTTTGCGGGCATTAATTCGTAACATCGTCATTTTCCACGTTACCTCGCGTCGCGCCGTTGTGAAACTATAAAAATGTCCGGGAATCGTGTGTGTCGCGGGGAGTCGTAAAATGAATTAGCTCTCTCGTTTAGCTGCGATCTCGAGAAAGGCAAATTTAATACGCCGTAACGAAAAGAGTTAACGAGCCTTGCCGTGCGCGACTTCGCGACCGAGGTGCGATGCAAATTGGATTATAAAGCCGCGTGATATTCCACCTGTTACGAATACCGGCGCCGCGCGCGGCGATATTATGGTAAAATTAGGCGCGATGAGGCGGTGATGTACGCCGATTAAGTGGTACGTGCACGTCGCGGGTGCACCTCCACCACCTCGCGCGTACGAGAATAATCCCGACGATTGCGTGCTCGCGCCTCGGCGACACCGAGAGCTACGCACATCTCGCGAAGATGCCTCGCGTGGACCGCGAGAAACGCGGCGAAGCACGTGCATGTCGTTCGCCTCGTAGCGTCGCGCACGTTCTAGAATAGAACCTCGAGTTTCTCGAAACTTCGACTTTCATTCGGCGATCGAGGCGGGAATCGAGCGACCACGTCACTTCAGCGCGGCTCGAAAAACAGCGGCGATATCAAATTGTATAAATGAAAATCGTAGGAACGGTACACGGAAAAAACGTTGGGCCGAGATCAAGATAAATATTCTCGTATGTAAACAAGAATATTATATAATCTTCATATAGAAGATTTTTAGTCTTACTTTGATTGAATTTATATCGACGCAAATATTACTTTTGCTCAAGACTAAAAATCTAATCTTCCATTGAAAATTAGATTTTTGCTTATTTGATTTAATTCCTTTCTTTTTGTATCTTTTACCGTACATATAGGATTCCACATTAACCTCTTTAAAATTAAGATATTTGCTTTTTCGCGCTCGCTGGTGATAGCTCGTCGTTTTGACGCTATCCGCTTCGTATCGTAATCGTTATTTCAAAGCCCGTTATATTGCACTTTTTTCTCTCTCCCCGTTCCCTCCTGTAATCCATATCTCACGCATCGTCTCCCAACGATGTAATACCGCACGCGCCGGGACGTGTAAACGTATCGTTACAGTTAGCCTCGCTTGCTTGCTCGCGTCTTGCCACGAGATAATTCTGCCCGGTACGATAATTAAACGCACGATGTGTTTCTCGAGGCGCGTATCGATTTGCGTCCGCGTCTGTCTCCGTATATCTCCCGGAGCGACGGAGCTCTCTTCCTCGGAGTCGCTCTATAATAATCCCCGAAGCTTCGCGGAGCGACCTTCGAACCCGCGCGTCGCGTTTATCGCGATGAATAAAAGAATTATATTACCGATGCGCGCGCTATCGCTCGCGCCACGCATGTAAAAAAAAAACCCAGTAAACACGCTGTAAAGGAAAGAGAGATTGGTAGAGGTGTTATCGACGAATTATCGAGGATCGGACTTTTCCTCTCTTTGTCGACGGACCGGAGGAGCGAGGAGCGCGTATCGCGAGATTACGGAGTTGAACAAGAAATGTCGATTACGGGTCGACCGCGTATCGAGCGTTAATTAAACTTGCTTTCTTCTCTCTATATCTGCGTTATCTCTCGAGCGCATCGGCTGGCTAATCACTCGTTCTTTGTGAAAAGAAAGAGGCGCTTCGTCGTCTAAGCAGTCATCTCCGTTGGATTCTCGTTAGTCGTACGCTAAAGAATTTATCCCCCTTTTTTTTCCTTCTTCCCCTTTTACAATGTGTCACAATGCAACGACGTATCGCAAATAAAATTGCGTCATCCCGAGGCACAGTTCGCGAACCGAGAAAGATCTCGATAATTGGAATTCTTTGTCGCCGTTCGGGATTCGACGAAAAAAAAAACGCCGATGTAACTGACCTTCGCAAGTCTCGACGCTGAAAACGCGGTCGTCGCGCGTTTTCGCCGCGTCGCATGACAAACCGCACGCGAAATATGTACATATCGACCCGTCCTATTACGTGCGTCAGTGCGGCGCGAGATCCGGCCAGTGGATATAGAGACCGTCGTCAACCGCTTTATTTTTACGCGCGCATATTAAGGCGCTTCTGTCACTCCGCTTGCCTCATTTCGAATTCGTCATGAACACGACGGACGAACGCGACGTCTCAATTAAATGTTCCTCGCTGTCCGCTACTCTCCTTCTTCAGCCTCCTACTCTCTTCTCTCTTACACCTCTCCTTCTGTCTCTAGCTCTGTGGCATTGGATTCCGTCTCGAAGAATAGGCCACGGAATTCGGGGCGAGTTTAGAGCGGAGAGATCCCTTCTCGAGAGCAACGCTCTATTTGTAGAACAGAGAACAAAGGGAATGAAAAGTGTGGAAAATCCGAAGGGAAAACGGGAAGGTAAAGAGAATAAGCAAAGTCACGACAAGGAAAAAGGAAAGAAAACCGATTCAGTTTTTCATTTTTAAATTCTCCTGTATACCTGAACCCTCGACCCTTTTGTGTGCTTGCCTGCATCGTAAGAATCAGACATGCGTTACGTTACTTTTTTTGGGCAGTTGTAAGAATAAAGAAGCGGAAGTTTCATTTCATACGCATTAAGCATCAGGCGTGATATCAATCCTTCGATAATAGCGGCACGAAATGCGTGATTATTTCAACACAAATAAATAGCAGAGACAGGTGTAAAAGACGAGAAGTGCCTTCGAAAGCACAATGAGGAGGGAGAGCTAGAGAGAAAGAAAGAGTGCGAGAGAGAGGGAGGGAAAACAAAAGGAGTAGCAAACGGCGAGCGAGCATGTCTTTGTCCCGCTCGCTCGCTCGCTCGATCACTCACGTTCGTCTACGCACGCGAACGAACGCACACGCGCAAGCGCCTAGGAATCAGCTGGTTTAAAAACAGCTGTGGCCTAAACACCGACCAAGCGGCGATTTGGAGACGAGTTAAATGTCCACTCGGCTACGCGGAAAAAAAATGAGTTTCTTTTTCCCACGCCGCTCGCAAGCTTTGACGACAATCGCTGCCAATAATATAGCTGTTATCATAAAGACTATTACGCTCGATAAGCGAGCCAGCAGTTTACCACGTGTACATGCTCTCTCATATCAATAGAACACAGGGTGCCAAAAAATCTATCTAGATGCTGAAGATTGAAAAAGGGAGGGATAGCAAAATTTGCAGAAATTCCTTGATAATTCCTTAATAATTCTATAAGAGAAGGTAGGCGATAGAACAACACATCCTTGCAATCCTTGTTTAAATCATTATTCTTAAATATTTTTTGTCGATAGGTTTACATATATTTATTTATCCATTAGCAATTAAAAAAGAAAACAAGAACGCTTCACGAATATAAAAATTTGAACAGATTTACAAATTATTCTCAAAATACAAAACAAGAAATTCCTTAAATCTGTTTACATCCAATAGACGTTGATGAAATTTAAACACGAAATTTAAACACATTTGATCATTTTCGTGCATGATATCGAAAACTAGGAGGCCATGTAAATGTTATTCAGATTCTTAAGAGAAATCGCTCGCGGAGGCCAATCTAAAAACAGTATCAGACTGACGCGGAAGGTTTTTCCGTCATATTTGTCAAACAGAATCGAAAACAAGATCTTGGCAGAATCGAGGGGGAAAATCACGAGTATACCTCAGTCCTTCTCTAACATCCAAAGAGGAATTTTTCAATCTTCTCTTCAGAGAACTCTGCTTTTCTAACTTTATTCAATACGAGGCCGTTTAATGGGAAAAACGACAAAGTAGTCTGAGTCAATCTCTGAGCCAAATTCTAAGCGCCAATCTGTAATAAGATCAAAGGATCCGCGGACGAGGTCTACCCGAGCGTGTAAGCTTTTCCAGCACCCTGTGCGAAACACATACACACGCACACCCACACACACATACGCGTACACACGCGCGCGTGCGAGGAAGCGCGACGCGATCGCGACTCGCGCTCTCACGTGCGCCACCGCTACGCGACAAGCGTATAAGATCGCACGAGGTGTACTTATCGGACACACAGCCAGCCAGCGCCTGTGGAAGAAGGGGGGACGAGAGGGGGGCTTTCATAAAGCAGCTCTCCAAGGATACAGTTTGATAACGTCCGTGTCCATGCGTCGCTTGCCGGCGCTGGGGGACGACATATTTATCGGTGCTGCTCGATCGTCGACGGTGCTGAGTTCGTCAGGGGCCCTTCCTCGCCCCGCGGCGCTCCTAGCGTCCTCCACCACTACCACTACCTCCGCCTCCTCCTCCTTCTTCTCCTCCACCTCCTCCTCCTC